GAGGGCAGGTCTAGCGGTTTCGGAGATTTAACGAAAAAAGTAAAAAAATGCCATTCGGCGGTTAAAAATGATCATTAGACATATGCACATCAAATTATCGGATATTTTATAGAGATTTTAACAATAAGTATAAATTTTGTTTACATTCCTACGGGTTCCGTACCAATGTTTATCCGTTAGACAGCGACGCGGCGCTTACGCGCTTTATATTTTGTCTCTATGCAGTTAAAGCAGTACGGTTGCTTTGAAAAAAAGTTTATATCTTCCAAAATATGTCAAAAAAAGAAAATATTTTTTTCTCAAAAAAAAATTTTTTTTTTAAATAAAAATTAAAAAAAAAATTTTTTTTTTTTTAAAACAAAAATTAATTTTTTGTCCAATTTATAGTTTCTCAAAAATCTTATTTTTTCGAAGTAAAATTTTTTCAAAAATGTTAATTGTTTTTAAAAAAATAATAATTTTTATACGGTAAGTTCCAGCAATTTGCCTTAAGGCACGATGCCTTAATTGCCTTAAGACAGAATTCCACTTACAGCTAGTTTATTAGTATCGAAGCGCAAAATAACGAAACTTTGTGAGGCATGTTTTCTTTTGCGACTGCGATAAGCATTTACAGGACACTTATTTTGTTAAGCGATGTTGGAAATCTCTGAATATAGGGGAGACTGTGTATGGTTGTGCCAAGATATGGCAGTGACATAAAATATGATTTTTCGAACAAGTTCCCATTCTTTACCTCAACATGATCTGTATTTGCTTTAAAAGGGTCAAAAGTAAGTTTTCACGTTCGAATTATGTTAAAACATTACGATGTTTATTGTATACAGATAGATCACTTCCTTCGTTATTTTGCGGTAGTTATTTACACGTTAGTTTTCTTATTATTAGATAATTTAGCTTAGGCATAATGATGATTTGTTTCCAAAAGTGTGCGTTGGGTACGGTTGTGTCAATTTTGTGGGTACTGTTGTGATATGTGTTTCTTGTTTTTTTCGGGTGAAGATTGAACACATAAAAAATCTAACCTAACAAGACAAAATACGAAAGAGAAAGGAGAAGGAAAATTCAATATAGTAAAAAAGGATTTTACAAAGAATTTTTGTTAACTTTGTTTACAAAAATATGTTTTGTTATATATTCATATATTTTACTTATAACCTATTTTCATGCCTTTCACTACTGACCTCAATCGCTGTCGGATGGACAGTTGTGCCACTGGCCCTTTTTTTTTGTATGATTTGATTTTATGAGTATTGCATCGTATTTAAGGACAGTAATTATTTCCACGTAGACAAATGTTCGAATTACCATCAAATATACTTTTCTCCCAGCTAACTGATAAACTAACAAAATTTGGCTTGATCAAAAGTGGCATAACCGTCTCCCCTACCTGTTTTTTAAATTCTTTTGCACTTTAAGTGTAATTTTATTTTGTAAATGAATTCTCCTAGTTTATGTCTTACCTTTTTTTAACCTCATTAGTGCAGTAAACGGAGCGTTTTAGGTCTGAATTTTTTTACTGTGCTCCGAATTGAATGAAATTTTGGAATTAGGTTCATCTTACCCTCAAGTTCAAAAGTGAAAACAATTCGGGTTGCGCCATCACCCCCCGGGGGGATAACACCCCTTCTCAATTGTGTAATTACATTTTTTCAAAATAACGTCGAAAATCGATAGAAGAACTAATTATAAGAAAAAAATGTCTTCTATAGTTTTTCAAAAAAACTAATACTTTTCAAGTTACTGGCCACTAAAGATTCATATATTTTTGGCGTTTTTCTTCGTTTTTTGCAAATATCTCCTAAAATATACATTTTAACGAAAATCATGTAATGAACAAAATAATGTCAATAAAAATCTTAATAAATCGGTATTACCTAAAGTGTTCTAGAAAAAATATGAAGCAAGATTTGAAAGAGCAAAGTCGTTTTTTATTTCGTTCAAGATTTAATTGTTGTATTTAAAGCCATCTAGTGTCGAGGTTTTACATTTTATGCATTTCAGTTAAATTGGGTTTTATAGTGCTCAATTTAAGCTTTAAAATGAGTGCTGTTACAAGTTTTTTGCATGTAAAATGAGTGAGTTATCATGCAAATAAGAAGCATATACGAAGTTTTTTTCTTTTAAATCATATGGTTTAATGAGCGCTAATTCCACCAGAATTAAAGTAATTCACATTCCATCTAAAATTCACTTCATTATAGACATCTTGATGGATTCTAGCAGATTCACTACTTTAGTACAAACTATTTTCAGAAAACTCACGATTTTATAAAAACTTTTTTTCTAATTTGCGCGGCCGCGCAGTCTTTAAACATTCATAACTATGTCAATTTTTTTGTGAAAGAAAAATAATAAAAAACAATAATAAGCCAGAAAGATCCCTTTGATTTTGATCTATAAGCTTTTATACGTATCTTTTATTATTTTTGAGATATAATGAAAATAATTTCGATTTTTAAAATTATTGGAAATTTTTTTTTATAAAATTGTGAGTTTTCTGAAAATAGTTTGTACTAAAGTAGTAAATCTGATAGAATCCATCAAGATGTCTATAATGAAGTGAATTCTAGATGGAATGTGAAATACTTTAATTCTGGCGGAAATCGCGCTCATTAAACCACATGATTTAAGGGGTTAGGGGTACTTGGGATTTTTGAAAAATCGATTTTTATTTTTTTGCATTTTTATTAAGAGTAACATCTTGAAAATATTCTCTGAAAATTTCAAGTTGATCCGATGATTAATTTTTGAGTTATTGGACTCTTACCAGCGCGTTGACGCAAGTGGAGAGCTCGATACTTATACTCAAGATCATTCTCCCTCACCTCCTGATGTTTTAAACGCTTTCAAACCGATTTACGACGATCTCAGCAATGATAATTTACTTTCAAGATGTGTAGTTCAAGATTAAATCCATAATCAGAAAAAACTAAAAGCTTCAACCAACTAGTGTAAAAAATATACCTAGAAACCGTGAATACTAGTTTTACTAATTGCTGAATGCATATACATAATCATTATTATTGATTATGGATACCCTAGAAACTAATTGTGGGTATAATTCCCATTGATATGCTTAAAAATTGGATGCTGCGCGTGTGAAAGTGGCAGATCAGCGCGCCAACGAGAACATTCGGGAGGCCAGAATGCTTTGTAGGCAACAGCAAATGGAAATTTTGGAAACTTGCACAATGACTGATAAACTATTATATGGCCCAGATATAGATGACTCAGTTTAAGTAATTCAATAATTCGAATTTCTGTACGTAAATCCAATGTGAAACTTTAAACGCGTTTTTCTCAAAACTATGTTTTTTGAATCGGTGACCACTGTAACTCGAAAACCACTTAGTAAATTTTAATGAAATTCATACAGCTTTCATAATACATAATAAACTCGTGCCTGATCGAAGGATTTTTATTTTTTCAAAAATTTGAATTTTTTAAGACCAATTAACAGTTGATTTTTTACCCAAAAATCAAGATTTTTCCTTTCTGATGCTGCCATTTTGTTAATTTTTGCAAAAAAAGAAAAACCTTCGATCCGGCCCGAGATTAACTATTCATAAAACTATTTTTTTAATTTGATTGATTTTAGATGAATCTCCAAGGAGTTATGATGGTCACCGCCAGGACCGTTTTTCGAAACAGGGTCAACAAAAACAGCTATAACTTTGGGAATATTGAGTTTTTTTTTCTGAAATTTTTGTTACATCAAGTCAAAACATTGGTTAATAATGCTGTGTTAATATTTTTGTAGAAAAACATCGTTTAATAACAAAAAAAAAATACTGAAAACACTTATTTTTTCGTGCCTGCAAGTACCCCTAACCCCTTAAAAGAAAAAAACTTCGTATATGCTTCTTATTTGCATGATAGCTCACTCATTTTACACGCAAAAGACTTGTAGCAGCACTCATTTTAAAGCTTATATTGAGCACTATAAAACCCAATTTCACTGAAATGCATAAAATGTAAAACCTCGACACTAGATGGCTTTAAATACAACAATTAAATCTTGAACGAAATAAAAAACGACTTTGCTCTTTCAAATCTTGCTTAATATCTTTCCTAGAACACTTTATGTAATACCGATTTATTAAGATTTTTATTGACATTATTTTGTTCAGTACATGATTTTCGTTAAAATGTATATTTTAGGAGATATTTGCAAAAAAACGAAGAAAAACGCCAAAAATATATGAATCTTTAGTGGCCAGTAACTTGAAAAGTATTAGTTTTTTTGAAAAACTATAAAAGACATTTTTTTCTTATAATTAATTCTTCTATCGATTTCCGATGCTATTTTGAAAAAATGTAATTACACAATTGAGAAGAGGTGTCATCCCCCCGGGGGGGTGATGGCGCAACCCGAATTGTTTTCACTTTTGAACTTGAGGGTCAGATAAACCTAATTCCAAAATTTCATTCAATTCGGAGCACTGTAAAAAATTCAGAGGTTATAGCCTTTTTCCTCTCCGTTTACTGCACTACATGTAATTTATTACATTTTTCATGGTTTCAATATTTAATCTGATTCATGCAATGCAATTTTAAAAAATATATAGATTTGCAATATCACTGCAAAGTAAGGTGCTAACTTTATGTGCTAGTGTTAAATAATTTTGCACACTTCTATGAAATTCAATATGAGGTAAATACAATTGTTCATATTATTAAAATTTATATTTAACTTTGATTGTCGAAGTCTATTGGTTTGAATGGTTTGCTTTGGCTTACCATTGCACTTCGTGTACCTAATTTAAAATTTGCCGAAAAAGTATTTAGTTTTTTAATTAGATTAATATATTTTTATTTTTAACTAACTTTAACTTTAATTATTATTTATTTTATAACTCCGAAGTGCTAATCCTTTCTTGATTGTGTGAATCAGTGCGTACTTAATTTATCTAATATTCAACCAATTTTCCTTTAGGTAAAATAACATTCATCAGTAGTTGTGTGACTATAAAGTACATGTAAATCATTTTTTTCAGGTTACCCATTCACAGCTGGTCTTAGAGCAGCCTCGGGGTATCCAGCTGTATTACCCAGTCAATACGGGTGAGTCGCATTTGTTTTATATAATTTTTATTGATAACACTAAAAAGAATTATTTATTTTAGACTAGAGAGAGTATTTATATTCTATTCTTTACTAATAATCTTATTTTCATACTTTGACTACCTATTACAAACGTAATACTAATTCAATTAAAGCTAATCTATTGTGCTTTCCGGATTAAACTTTCGAATTTCAGCGGCATGCTTATAATAGGTTAAAAATGATTGAAATATAAAACTATGTGCGGAAAATCGTGAGTTTTTTATATTTCCAAAATATAATAGTACATTTTAGAAATATAAAAGCGCAAAATACTCGAAAAAGAAGAACAAAAATCACACAACCATATTTATAATAAAGAATAATTGGACAAACACAAAAAGTATACGAGGGATTTATTCGCTCTGAAGGAAAATCAGAGTAACGAGCCAAAAATACTTGAAAATTTTTACTTTCGCTACCGGGATGTAGAATGCGGGGGATTGTAATTTTAATGTAAATCTTCTACTACTAGCTCACTAATTATTATTATACTGAACTAAGAATAATTAGAAATTATTATTTAAGATTTGAAACAAATGTATTCAACAATAATATAGTGTACCCGGCCCCACTGGGTTGGGTACTTATAATTAGATTTTTTTGGATATTTAATTATCTTGAAGATAGTAGATACAATAGCCAATTGTTTCCAAAATTGGCGATTACAATTATCATCAACTAGAACTAATTTAAAAATGAGAAAAATATTACCATTTTAAAAAATGGTACTAATAATATTTATAGCTATTTTAAAATTTATTTATAACCTTTTGTCGTAGTTTATATATATATATATATATATATATATATATATATATACGGGTAAGAATATATTTAAATTCTAGGAGGTATATTGATATTTTTAATTTTTTGTTGCATTTTATAATAGTTCGGGTTTTTTTATCATTTGGTGTTATTTATGATTATAAAAAAAATTACCAATTCCGTGGTAGATTCATCAACGCTATGAATCAGCTTACCATCCTCTGATTCTTACTAGTTCTCTTTTAAGTAACCAGTTCAATTTTTCTATGAGCATATGATCGCATAAGATCCAAAGCTTCGAAATATTATTATCATAATGCGATACTAATATGTTTTATGGTCAATAATTAAAATACGCTTTAGCTGGCAGTAATTATTTTTTCCAATATTTTTATAAAACTGCGCGATTGCTGCTTCCACTCGCAATCTTCGAAGATGATTTTTTTTTCTGTATGTATTTCTCAAAAATTTATTAAGGATTTGTAAGAAGCTACACTTTCAATTACATCAGTTGATTAATTTTTGATTCTCATCGATTCTTCTTTCTTATCATCAAAAACACCTATCACTTTGAAGCTTATGAAATAGGTAGTCGAAGCTGAAGTAATGTTATAACTTGCTTTTATATATTTCTGCTATAGGTAGATTGAAGTAGTATGTCTGCGCTTTCTTTAAAATCAAACCTCAGTTTTGCCATTATTACTCTAGTATTTAAAGTTAAATTGCTTTGATCCCTTTTAAATCAGAATTAAGTTGTGAACAAGTACAATTTTGTGATAAAGAAGGCGTTTTTGTTCATTGCAATCACTATTTGATAGTAATAATGTAGCAAATCTTCTAGCTGTAACAAAATTATTACTTTATTATTTTATTATATTTTTTCATTATTTTTATATTGCTAAATATTTGTTTGAATTTTATATATTTTTCAATAATAAGGAAGTAAATATTTGTTAGAGTAATTAAATACTTTTTAAATGTGTACTACAACAATGAAAGTACTACTAGTAGCTACTTTTATCGTTTATTATTATGCTGCGGATGAGGTCACACATCTGCTGCTATTCCTCCCTTTTTTTACTTTATTACCGAAAGGTCCTTCACGGATTCAAGGACCGGTGTGTATTAGTTATTTTGACAGAAATAATAAATATTTATTGAAATATTGAAATCGGTAAAAATGATTTCGTGAATTTCATTATTTCGTACAAGCAAGAAGACGATCAAAAGTTTTTCAAAAATCCTTCACTGGACTAGGATTTCTTTAAACCTTACGACACTGCACTTGCAAAATAAATTTTGTGATATAAGATGCTCAATATTTAATAAATCATGAAATTACATCGTTATTGTTGTTATGTTGTATTCATTATATAGACAGAGGTTGTCCCAGAGCTAAACGTCGAGCCGAAACGAGGTGATAGTATTGATCGTAACTATTACGAAAAAATAAAATTAGAAAAAAAATATTTCACGTAGTTTGAAAATCATAAGCTCTCAAGTGCAGCAGAGCATTGGTCAAACTGTGACAATTTCCCCCTTAGTCTAGTAAATTTTTATTACTTTTATTTAAACTTTCGAACCGTAACAGTGAATAAAATTTCTAAGATCATAGTCAAAAATAATGAAACAATTGCGCCAAAATTTCAAGAATTAAAACTTTTTGTTAAACCATGAATTAAAAATATTTAAGATTGGTTGAATTTGAAAGATCTTTCTTTAAAAAAAAACGTTCTAAAGTGCGCAGGCAAGATTCATCAAAAGTTTGCGCGTTTAATCAGGATTGTATAATGGTAAAATACACGATAATATTCTTATTGAAAATTTTCAAGTAACAAAATAAAGACCTAAAAGTTGACATGATTTTTGCTGGTGCATTTTACACACAAATACTTTTATGTTTGTGGTGCGCTCAAGCTTTATCTTGCTACACAGATACCTGAACTAAATGTGAGCGAAAATTAGCCTTTATTGTGTTATTTTTAACTTTTTATTTTTTTGTTCGGTTTTTAAATATGAAACTAACAAGTTTTTTTGCCATTATAGAATCCCAATTTAATGCGCAAAATTTTGACCTTAAAACTACCGGTGTACGAAGACAGATTTTACTTCTAATGTTGAAAAGATTTTACCAATTACGATATTATTCCCCGAAGGACCAGATATAATTAATTATCAAAAAAGGCTACAGAATGAATAATTTCTTATAACTAGCTTAGTTATAAGAAATTACTAGTTATCAAAAAGCCTATACTAGGGTAGGAAATTATTTTATTATGTCAGGTAGAGGAAGATTGATTAATAATATTTGTGAGGCTCGAACACCGATTATATTAATTATATTATTATATTATTACAATATATTAGTCGAACGTTTACGCAAAAGAGGCTCTAATCTTCTTTTAAAGATTCTAAAGTATATAAATAAGATGATAAATACTCTGAAGTATTAGAATATTTAGATTTTAGAATTGGATCCTGACAGACTTATTTATTGATTCATTTATTTATTGGATTGTCAAGTGTTTACTAGAAAATAGAAAGAACTATGTTACCAACAATAGGAGTGCAATCAGAAGTATATGTAAAGCAATATACAAAATTGTGTGAAATTTTAAGAAGATATAATTAGGTGAAATTTTAAATTGATACAATTAACATAAAATTAGTATTTAGAGCTAATAATTTTTCTCCACTTTTTTATTATTGAAGACTTAAAAAAAAATATATTTAGTATATTTTGTTGTTATTCATTTTGCGTTAGTTAAACTGAACGGTATAATAAATATATAAAAGGTAAAAGTATTCATTGTCTTTATTGTTTATTATTTAATACGTAATTAGTAATTTAATTGCTTATTTGAATAAAATGGTAATCAATTCAAATATGAAATTATAATTCTCATTTAAAATGTATGCATAAATCGCCCAATTAGCGATATATTGTTACTTTAAAATTCGTAATAACTAATGAAAATAATCATAAATTTAACAAACTTAATTATATAAATTTATGATTTAAAATTTTATAAATAATAAATTTTATGGAAAAGAAAACAAAAAAATTAAAGCAATACATAACTAGTGATGTATACACGTGCCTTAAGGCAAATTGCTGGAACTTCCCGTACCAAAAATTATTTTTTTTAAAAAAGATTAAATTTTATTCTAAACTTTGAAAAAAATAGATTTTTTTAGATAGAGACAAAATATCGAAGCGCCTAAGCGCCGCGCCGCCGTCTAACAGGCAAACGATGTGACGGAACCCATAGAAATGTAAACACAATTGATACATATTATTAATATATCTGATAATTTGTGCATATGTCTAATGATCATTTTTGATAGCCAAATGGCATTTTTTTTTTATTTTTTTTTACTAGATCTCTGAAACCGCTAAACCTGCTTTCCCTAAAATTGAATCAATTTTTCATCCTAATAATACAAGTAAAATGCTTTTTGAATAATTAAAATCGGACGACCAGTTCTCTTAAAAACTGAGTTGCCGTTTTTGGCACTTTTTGCCCCGTATCTTTGGGAAATATCAAATAGGTTGATCGGTGTTCCTGAAATCGTCGATGAAAATTTGTATCCGTACACACACACATACATCCATTTTTTTAAGGTATGTCAAAATGTTCAGAAACTTTTGAAACGTAAAGATATATAAACATTTTCATTTTCGATTTTTTGCGATTACTATAACTTACCCTACAGGAAGCTAAAATTATATAATTAATAAAATAATGTACGTATGAAATCGAATAATATATATTTTTTTCAGAATATCGGATATATAAATAAATAAAATATTTATTAAATGTGTATATAAAAGATATGAAGATTTATCTATCTTTATGAACATGTTTTTGTGCAAATCAATGTGTTTGAAATAAATAAAATGGATTTTTACTTTCATCGACGTAAATGGTCTAGATCAGGCATCGGCAACCTACGGCACGCGTGCCAGGCTTGGCACGCGAAGGGATTCTGAATGGCACGCTACAAAGGAATTAGGAAAATCGCAAATATATCGAGACGAAGTGATTTTTAAATAAGAGAAAATGTTGAAAATAAGAGAGAAAGTTTGATTATAATGTGGATCGCTAATTTCATGAAAAATCTGCGCGAAGGTTGATTGAGACCGCATTCGGAGTAAAAGGGATGAAACATGTGCAGTGCCGAGTGGTTAT